CGGCGGCTGCCCCGAGCCGACATGGGCAGGTAAGTCGAGGCCGGCCGCGGGCGGGCGCGGCCCGGGGGCCCGGGGCGCCGCGGGGGGAGGAGGGCAGCGGCGGGGGCGATGGATGCTTCCCTCCGAAGTAGTGCGTATCATGGGGTTCAAAGTGTGGCCCTCGCGGGGGCTGGTTTGGAGGATTTTCCCCCTGGATCCGAGCCCTCAGTTCTGCCAGGGGGATCACTCATTCCCAGGGAGAGGAACTCACAACGTAGGGCGAAGACTCAAAGTTGCGGGAAACAATCGAAAAGAAAGGCACCAAGCAAAGATTTTTCGCTTTCTTGCGTTTCTTGTCGCGTCCACACAGACACGTACAGAACTTGCCTGGCCTCTCCGCGTCGTGGATTGGATTTAACAAGTGAAGTCAGTTTTATTTTCTGCCTAAGAAAACCTTGAACAGTAAGTGTGAGCTTGGGTTTCATTAATTGTGTTATTCTAAGATTCCAAATAGAAGTTCCCTTCTTCAAAACCCGGACTAGCACTACCCGCTTGTATTGTTTCCAGATCGCTTCCCAGGGCTCTGCTTGCCAAGAATCTCTCCCTTTACCTGGATTTCTAGAGTGAATTATCCCCCCAGCCTCATCCACAGTTTGTATCTTAAATCCCGGATAGATTCCTAGGGAACACTCCCCAAGTATTTCCTCTTAAAACTGTTTATTTTTCCTCTTACAAGCCCACATACCCTATGCTCCTGAATTAAGATCCGCAGGTCAGTTGTTTCCAGCCTCTTAGTAACTAGTAACCGCTCAGGAGTTCACAGATTCGCTGTTGCGTTTAGCCACAAAATGTGGACTTTGTTTGTTAGGGTTTTTTTAAAAAACCATTCTGTACCACATTTATGGAGAGTTCCTCCACCCAGACCTACTTCTGACCGGTAGGATTTCTCTTTTTCACACTGCACACACCGAGCTCTCAACTTGACTAAGTCCAGGGTAATATACCAAAACTTGAAACGTTCTCTAATTTATAAGAATCTAAGATGATCCCAGTTGTGTAGGCCCTGCGACGGTGTCCAGGGAAAAGCCTCTAGATGGTATAATCATTTGGAAAACAACTAAATGCCCCTGGTGGGCACTGTAGCAGAGAGGGAACACATTTTCCCTGCTCTGGTGTCCGAATTCTTGAAACAGATATCCTAAAAGGACAATAAAATCCTACCTCCCGCCTCCCATAATTATGCACTGTACTTAGCTTTTCAATGGAGCTAAGTAATTGTGTGACAGATTTCTTAAATTCACCCTCACGTTATCAGCTATTATTGTACTTTCAAAGTGTGAAATTGACAAGCTGGTCAGTTTCATGAATTCAGCTGTCAGATTGTGTCCAGTTAAAAATTGCTAAAAGCTGTAAATGTGCCGCTTCGAATTTTCTTTTGTGAAAGAAAGACAGCAAGGGGATGGAGAATGACAGGGTGTCATTAATTGTAAATCTTTTTAAATAGGTGCAGCACAGTGCCAGTTTTATCTCTGGCTGCTGTTGGGAAACACATGGAGATTTCTATCACTGTAGAAAGTATCATTTACTTTTTATCTGTATCTAATTTTAAATAGTGAACACTTCATACAAAACTCTTATTAATGGTGATATAATAGAAATGAAATTCAGAAAGGAAAAGTGGCTCTCACATGTATTTTAATGTCCTCGAGTGAAGTATTGCTTTGTAATGACATGTAAAAAAGTAGATAGATTAACTGTTTTGTTGTGGGGTTATGTGGCAAGCATTCTTGGGCTAGTGCAGTTGGACAATTAGTGTGAGAAATGAATGCAGCAGTATATTTTAACTTATACATTGAGGTAAATAACTACAGATGCAGGACTGCTTAAAATATTAAATGCCATGATATGGTGTGCTTTTTAGGGTAGACACTCATCTAAAACCAAAATGCCTCAAAGTCCAGAAGTAAAAATTGGATTCCCCAAATCTGCTGCTATTTGCTAAGCCACTAGGGGCCTGTATAACTGTTCTTATATTCAGGAGACACCCTGTTTTGAACTATGCAAAGTCTTCCTAGAGAGACCTTTAAGAACGATTTAAATACGCAATCCCTCCAGGTTTTGCTTTTTTCTTTAAAAACATGAACCCATGCTCTGATATTAGTCGTAGATGCTGATTGACAGATGTTTCAAAAATTCTATTTAGGGATCCTCTGACACTATGGTGGTGTTAGGGTGAGTTTTCATAGAGTATCAAACAGAAAAGGATTATTTGTACAAGTTCATATAGGAGAGCAGTTTCTTAATGTATGGTAAAACTGAGCAAGACGAAATGATAACTTTTCCTTACTGATCTGAGAAGAATATTATTTGCATAATGTGTGGTTAAAAGATAAATGAAGCGGAATTACCTTAAAGGAAGTGTAGGCATAGATTGATGGTGTGATTAAACAAGGTTTGCAAGTGCTGTGCAGGTTTGTGTGGAAAGAGACTCTGAGGCCCCAACGCCACTCTAGTCAGTACACAAGGGCTCGGACTGAAGATGCACTGTGCGTTTCGAAGTGTCACTTTCACAAATTTGAAATCGACCCGTTGTGCCAGCCTTGATGGACAGTAGGCAATAAGGTCAAGTATACTTACACTCATCTTTTGTTGATTTTTAGTTTTTCAAACTGACACGGGTGACTCTTTGTAAAAAGAGCACACTATAAGCATTTGCATATTGGCTTTCCTTCAAACCAAGCTTAATATATCAAACCACTGAACAGTTCTATATTTACAACGATTCTTTGGATAATCAAAGAACTAACACAGTTGTATATGTAAAGTACCACCCCAAGAAGATGGATTTCTCGAGGCGATTTTGTTTTAAAAACACCTCTCTTTGGTTTCAGTGTGCTGGAGGGTAGTCTAGAGTTGAAGCTTGTTTGTGCTCTAACTTGTGGTCCTGATACCATCAGGCTTCCTTCAGGTAAATAAATAGCTTTAAAATCTGTACAGATAGCTCTTGGCCCTAGCACTCAAAACTCTCTGAGAATACACTTTAAGTTTGATATATACTCAGTGGAGTGTTCACAAAATATATTTATAGTTACAAATCCAGACATATAAGGTATGAAATATAAAGATACAGTATCCGGTTTTTCCAAAGTGCCCAATGAATGCTTTATTTTTTCCTATATTCTTAAAAGGACTGTAGTTTCTTAATTGAGAAGGTCAGTGTGAGTAAGTGAGGCTACATTATGCCATGCATACTGGGATCTCTTCCTGCTACATGCAGTTATTTAACTTTTCCTTGTTCCGTCTTCATGCTGTTTAGTCTCTTGGAGAAAGTGTCTTGGTTAAGGAAAGCTACATAACTGTGATGGCACAAAGGCAATTTGCAGCCTCAATCAAAAGCTAGTGTTTTAAAACATTCTGTTTTATATTACCACTGATTTGCGAAAAAAGACCAAAGAGAGGAGTTGTTCTCTGTGAACTACAAGGCTGAGGGTTCCTGTGTAACAATTCAAATGAAGAAGTCTGGTGATGTGGAAGGAGATTGCTTAGAAGGGATTCGCCAGTGAATTTCATAGCAACAAACATCACTTGCCTAAGTGTCTGTAATTTTATAGCACAATGACATTTCTGCCAAAGGATGGGTTTGTTTGGGGGTATTTTCTATGTGGATAATTTCATTTGTTTCTAATCAGGAGTTGGTAACACTAAAATGTCATGGCAAAGAAAATGTCTAAATTCTCCGTTTGGTAAAAAAGTAAAAGAGTATTTGAGTCCTTCACAATTAAGCTCAACAAATATATGACTAGTATTTACTGTTTGCTCATTATGTAAAATCATAGCCTTCGGTGCAACAGTTCAGAATTTCCTTTACGTCCTAAGTCTCGGCAAGGTCAAAGAGCATATATTCATATGTTGTAGCAGTCTCTGACCTTATGTGACCTACGTAGTAGTGAGGCAACAGGGAGGTGAGACTGGGGTACAAAGAGGTGTGCCTACCAGGTGCAAATCATGGCATTACATTGAAGGCTTGTTTCTCCTGTTTCCCCTTTAAGAAATCACCATTCCCTTCATGTAGCTAACAATTTTCATTTTCTTCTGTTAAGATTTTATTTGTAAAATATCCTTAAGACGTAGACATTAAAGTAATGGAAGGATTAGATTTGTGTATACCACCATGCTTCTGAAAGAAACTCATGGGGAAAAATGGACTGACTGGGACAATGTCATCCCCAAGATAATTCAGTGGCTTGTTCTTAATTAGTTTGATCTTGATGTATTTAATAGGTGTATATCAATATTTTTTAAAGAAAGCTTTTGAATTACCTTTTAACCTCTTCTTTTGTCCGCTAAATCAAATTTCTGTATGTCACAGACAATAGATTAATAAAAGGATGACAATTTGAAAAGCTAAGGCAGCTTATTTCATCCGCAAAGGGCAGGCCATGAGCACAGGCAGGTGAACAGTACGGGACCAACCCCTTAGGTGCCCTTTACTCCTCACCTGTGGCACAGAAGACTAGCTTCCCTTTGCTAATGACTGTGTCCCCAGCAGGGCCTTGTTGGTCTGCAGTAGCAATAAGCCAGGCACCCTCTGAGCTTCCCTGGCTTTCTCGGAGTTCCTTGCACTCACTGACCAGAAATACTTCTTCACGTTGCTGCAGCTTTGACAGAGCAGTGTCAGGGGCCTTGTGACCTTTGCAACACTGCTGTTTACTGGCTTTAACCTTCGTAAATCTGTCAACTTCGTGAGATTGGTTGAATTTATAAAATCTTCATTGTCTCTTTTTAAAAGAAAAAACAGCCTTTGAGCTACGTTCTTTAGTGTAGTGGTAGCTAACCAATTTGAGATTGGAAGACTGTATTTTAAAAGTCAGTTTCCCAGTCCTGTTTTGGGATTTGTAGAAATCATCTTTTAAAATATATAGAATGATCATCTGTAATGTTGGGTTATAAGTTACAAGAGACTTCCTGGGAAATGCCAACCTGCTTCCATTCTCCTTAAGGTCCAGCAGACAGAACATAGACTTTCTGTGAGAAGTGCTCTGCCTGTCTCACTTCTGTCACTCCTCTGTGGAGTCTCGGAAAGGGAGGCACCATTTCAGAGCCTCAGTTTCGCCATCTGTAAGATGGACAGAATAGCCACACCTTTGATGAAGTTACAGCTAATGGGGTAATATAAATTTGTCCTACTTTATGTGTTAAATTAAAAAAAAATTCTTAACTGGGTGTGGTGATCCCAGCACTGGGGAGGCAGAGGCAGGTGGGTCTCTGTGAGATTGAGGCAAGCCTGGTCTACATCATCAGTTCCAGGCCACCTGGGGCTATAGGGAGACCCTGTCTCAAATAAAACAAGTGATAATGATAACAGAAAGCCCACAAGCTGGAATGCAGTAGCATTGTCATAAGCATTTGCCACTCAACAGCACTGGTTTGTGGTAAAGATCTCTCTGGATCGTGTTTGCTCC